AGGGGCCATCAAGTCAGCTCTGACCCATAGTGACCCCATGCACAGCAGAACCGAACCCTGCCTGGCCCTGCGCCAGCCTCCCAATCCTTGCTGCACCTTAGCCCAATGTTGCCGCCACTGTGTCCACCCATCTCATTGAGGGTCTTCCCCATTTTTAGCGACCCTCCACTTTACCAAACATGACATCCTTCTCCAGAGACGGTCCCTTCTGAAAGCATGACCGAAGTAGGTGAGATGAAGTCTGGCCATTCCTGCTTCCAAGGAGCATTCCGGCTGCACTTCTTCCAGAGCAGACTTGTTAGTTCTCCTGGCGGGCCACGGTTCTTCCAGCGTTCTTCGCCAGCACAGCTCCAAAGCACCGACTCTTCTTCGTCTTCTTTACTCATTGTCCAGCCTCACATGCATACGAGGCGATTGAGAACACCACGGCTTAGGTCACGAGCACCTTAGTCTTCGAAGAGACATCTCTGCTCTTCAGCACTTTAAAGAGGTCTTTTGCAGCAGATGTGCCCAGTGCAATGCACCAGCTGACTTCCTGACTGCTGCTTCCATTGGTGTTGATTGTGGAATCAAACAATATAAAATCTTTGACAATTTCAATCTTTTCTCCATTTATCATGATGCTGCTTATTGGTCCAGTTGTGAGGATTTTTGTTTTCTTTATATTGAGACGTAATCCAAACCGCAGACTGTAATCTTCAATCTTCTTCAGTAAGTGCTTCAAGTCCTCTTCACTTTCAGCAAGCAAGGATGTGCCATCTGCATATCGTGGGTTGTAAATGAGCCTTCCTCCAATCCTGATGCTGTGTTCTTCTTCATATAGTCCCTCTTCTCGGGTTATTTGCTCAGCGTATAGTTTGAACAAGTGTGGTGAAAGGATACAACTTTGACTCACTCCCTTCCTGATTTTAAACCATGCAGTGTTGCCTTGTTCTGTTCGACAGCTTCCTGGTCTATGTAGAGCTTCCTGCTGAGCACAATTAAGTGATCTGGAATTCCCATCCTTCTCAATTTTATCCATGATTTGCTATGATCCACATATTCTAATGCTTTTGCACAGTCAATAAAACACAAGTAAATATCTTTCTGGTATTCTTTGCTTGCAGCCAACATCCATCTGACATCAGCAATGATATCCCTCATTCCACATCCTCTTCTGAATCCAGCTTGCATTTCTGGAAGTTCCCTGTCAACATACTGCTGCAACCATTTTTTACTTATTTTCAGCAGGATTTTACTCGTGTATGATGTTAACGATATTGTTCGATAATTTCCACATTCCGTGGGATCACTTTTCTTTGGAACTGGTACTAATATGGATCTCTTCCAATCATTTGTCCTGGTAGCTGTCTTCCAAATCTCTTGGCATAAACGAGAGAGTGCCTCCAGCACAACATCCATTTGTTGAAACATCTCAATGAGTATTCTGTCAATTCCTGGGGTCTCGTTCCTTGCCAGTTCCGTCAGTGCAGTTTGTACTTCTTCCCAGTACCATTGGTTCTTGATCATATGCCACTTTCTGAGATGGATGGACATGGATTAGTTCCTTTTGGTACAGTGACTCCGTGTATTCCTGCCATCTTCTCTTGATGTTTCCTGCATCATTCAATATTTTGCCCATAGAATTTCTCAATATTGCAACTCGAGGCTTGAATTTTTTCTCAGTTCTTTCAGCTTGGGAGATGCCAAGTGTGTTCTTCCTTTGGTTTCTAACCCGTCTGTGCACCTTTCATTTAATGCTTTGTCTCCTCAAGCTGCCCTTTCAAATTTTGTTCTGCTCTTTAATTTCATTTCTTCCATTTGCTTTAGTAAGTTTCAGAGTCTCTTCTGACATCCTGTCCTGGTTCCCAGTGCCTCTCTGACAGGAATATACCACCAATGGGATGGCCTTAACAAACAGGAGTTTATTCTCACAATTTGGAGGCTTTAAGTCCAAGTTCAAAGTGCCAGGCTCTAGGGGCTGGGGGAAAGCCCCTCAACCTTGGGGTCCAGCTTCGTCTCCTGCTCCCGGCCCACTGGAGCTAGAAGCGTTTCTTCACTCAGACAGCTGCTGGCTGCTGGGGCTGAGAAGCCCCAAGGTTGGCAAGTAAAAAAGGCACAGTCCCAATGTTACCAAACCACACGGCAGGCCATTAACTTAAGTCCATTGTAAGTCCCAAGGTCGTCAGAGCATGGCAGTCTGCTGAGCAACGACACGGCTACATGCAGGGTCCAAGCGTGCCATAGGCTAGAGACCATTGCCAAGGCTTCTCCTTATATACAGGAAGCAGATCACCTCCCAAAGGCAGCTACTCAGCTGCTTGTGGTAGATCCCACCATGGAGTTAATTGTCAGTCTCATCATGGGGACTAACTCCCACCAGCTGCCCAGCCACTCAGCCAGGCCCAGCCAAGCTGACACTCAAACATGACCGCCACACCTCCATTCTGGTCTTCTGTTCTTTTCCTGCCTTTTTCATGACCTTTTGCTGTCTTCATGGATGATGTTCTTGATGTCACAATCACAATTCGTCTAGTCCTCGGTCATTGGTGTTGAACGCATCAAATCTATTCTTCAGATGGTCTCTAAATTCATGTGGGACATAATCAAGGTCATATTTGGGCTCTCATGGACTTATTTTAATTTTCTTCAGCTTCAACTTGAACTTGTGAAGGCGCAGTTGATGGTCTGTTGCACGAGCAGCTCCTGGCCACGTTCTGGCTGATGGTGTCGAGCTTCTCCATGGCCTCTTTCCACAGATGGAGTTGTCTTTCTTCTGTGTACTCCATCTGGGGCAGTCCACATGTACAGCCACCTCGTATGGTGCTGAAAAATGTATTTGCAATGAATATGCCATTGGCCTTGCAAAATTCTATCGTGTGATCTCTGGTGTCATTTCTATTGCCAAGGCCATATTTTCCAACTACCGAAGCTTCTTGCTTCCAACTTTGGCATTCCCATCACCAGTAATCATCAATACATCTTGATTGCATGTCTGGCCAATTTCATACTGCAGAAGTTGGTAAAAATCTTTAATTTCCTCATCTTTGGCTGTGGTAGTTGGTGGTATATTTGAATAATGGCAGTAGTGATTGGTCTTCCTCGTAGGTGTATGGATATTATCCTATTGACAGTGTTGTACTTCAGGACAAATCTTGACATGTTATTTTTGATGATGAATGCTAACTAACATTAGCATTTTAATAACCTTGTTTTTATTAGGACTTGGTGTCATTTGAACTGAAGATTCATTTGGGGAATAAGAAATGAGTATTGTCCTGCTGAAAGGAAATAGTTTTCACTTATTTCCTTAGGTTGTGTTTTGCTTTCTTCTTTTTTGATTTAGTATGAACATTTTCAAAATTTACGAGCAAGAGTCCTAATGAGTCCTCACGTACACAAGTCCTAGAGCTGACACTTGGTTCAGTCTGTCCGCCTGTCGTCCTGTGGTGGTTGTGTGTTGCTCTCATGCTAGAAGCTATGCCACTGGGTCACAAGCACCAGCATCACCCGTGGTGGACAGTGCAGCCCGTGGACTAGACGGACTATAAAGAAAGGCCAGGTGATCTCCTTCGGCAAGTTAGCCGTGAGAGCTCCACGGTTCTCAACAGAGCGTTGTCCAGCTGCTAGCCTTGGACACATCTTCAGGAGGGATCCACTACTGGAGGGTCGTAGCCCATTAGCTAAGGTGGTGGGCCAAGGAGGGCAAGGGAGACCCTCACGGAGGTGGATGGGCACAGCAGCTGCAGTGATGGACCAGACCGTGCTGGTGATTGGGAGGGTGGGGATGGCATGGAGTGGCCAGTACTGTGCTGTGTTGTGTAGGAGGGTGCCATGATTCGGAGCCCCCCGGGTGACCGCTGCCTGGCTAATATTTCTGCCATGTTATTTGCTCTATATTTCTGTATTGTGAAATATTTTGGGTCATAGACATGACATTTTACCCCTAAATATTCCAGCATGCACCTCTAAAAACATCAGGACAACTTCCTACGATACTGCATCACTCCTAACAAATCCAACACTGATTCCTGGCTGTCGCCGAATGGCCAGCAGGGTTTTCATGAGTAAGTTAAGCTCAGAAGGTGGGCGATGTGTCCATCAAGATAATGATCGTGATGTCACCCAGAAAGGAATTGTCTTCGATGGCTACTGGGGGTGGGGGCAGAGCACTAACTAGAGGGTAGACACCTATTAACTTGGATGAAGGGAACAAAATAAATAAAAATAAAATAAGTCATAAGACTGTGCCCATCAGAAATTGTACTTCCAGGGCTAAGGATCTGACTTTCCTCCTGAGAAACAACAGAAGGAATCCCCCCTTGTACCGGGAGGTGGGAATGAGAAAAATACTCATTTTTCCATAAGCCGAGAGCGTGTGGGACAGTGTCTCCGGCAGCTCTGGGTGGGAGAAGCAGCATAACCTACTGCAGCCCACGTGGGTCCTGGGCTCCGTGAAACCACAGGACCTGAGACACCGTGTCTCCGCTGCCCTCAGCCGATGCAGGTCTGATGCGTGTGAAGAGAGGGGCTCTGGGCCTCGGGGAGGGTGGGTGTGGAGCCCCAAGCCTGCCCCATGGAGGTGTCCCAGAGAAGGAGGACTCAGGGGGTGGCTCTCCAGCTCTGCGGGAAGGAACCTGTCCTCAGAAGGGGCTACAAGGAACAGAGCAGGCACTGAGAACGGTGTCGAACAATCTATTTTACTAAATAGCAAAACGAGCATCCATTACAAAAACAGCATCCATTCTGGGCTCTCAGTCCCCTTCCCACCCCTGAAAACGGAAGTGGGGCACTCAGGGTGGAATGAGGAAAGTGTCTCCCCAAATGCTGCAGCCACCTGAGTCCCAGTTCTACGCATGGAGGTGGAGGAGAACCGCTCACTGCTCCTTCAGTCTAAGGTCCTCCTTGCCCAACCAGAACCAATGGGGCCCTTCCAGGGCCTGCCAGGTCCCCATTGTGGCTAGCCGGGGGACGGTCCTGCCAGGTCGCACAGTGTGGCAGCCCAGCTGACAGTCCTGCCTGGGCCCCAGACTCAGGAGGGCACCGGGTACCCATAGTGGTTGTGGTCAGCCTCGCCCAGGGTCAGCGTCAGCGACAGGCTAGGCTTCCTCTCCAGCTCTTCCTCCTCCAGGCAGCGTTGTGGGGGCCGAACTTTGAAGAAGTCAGAGATGTAACATACCTGGGACGGGCAGTAGGTGGGAGCAGGGTGAGCGGAGGCGGGAGCCTGCAAGGGGAGCCACCAGAGGGAAAGGTGTGGGGTTCTGGGTAGGAGCAGGGAACGGGGCACCCAAGAGGGGCTGGGTACTGTGCGGAGGATGAGAGGAACCGGAGGGGGTGGGAGTGCGACCCCAGGAGGGAGAGGGGAGCAACTACAGCCTCATGCGGGGGAAGCGGGGCTAGGGGATCTGGGGCGGAGCAATGGGGTTCTGAGTGGGGGCTCTGGGCACGGTCACGGCTCACCGTGAGGCCAGCCACCATCGCCCCCTGCAGCAGTCCTACGAGGACATCGCTCCAGTGGTGTTTATAGTCAGACACGCGGGTGTAGCCAACGTAGAGGGCAAAGGTCACCAGGAAGAACTGCACCGTGGGGCGCAGCAGCCTGGCCCACTTCCAGCACAGCCGCGCCTGCACATAGAGCTGGGGTGGGGCAGGGGGTGGTTGGCAGCCTGGCACCTGGCCACACTGGGCACCCATCACACAGACAGCACCGAGGCTGGGGGCAGGCAGACCCGGGGCTCCAGGGCCCACGGACAAAGCAGCCCTGCCCACCATCGCCACTCTCCCCATTTACAGACGGGCAGACCGAGGCCCAGAGAAGGGACTGGCTGTGTTTGCCCAAGGAGTCAGCCACAGAGACACAAGACTCACCGCCAAGAACACCATGCAGTACATGCCGAAGGAGGAGTGTCCGGAGTAAAAGGACAGCCTGAGAAGAGAGGGCAGTGGGGTCGGCAAGGGCCCCTCCCCAGGTACTGGACCCGGTGCCAGAGAGGCTCCTCCGAGGGAGCCGGCAGGCGGCGGACGGCGCCAGGTCAGTGCGAGGCGTTTGTTCCTGACAGTGGAACAGAGTTCAGACTGAGCCTGGCCGCTCTTGAACCCCCCACCACAAACACGTGCGGCAGGCCAGTCCTTGAGCCGGGCAGGCCGCCGTGTCTCCCACCAATAACACGGCAGCCTTGTCTCCCGGGACCTCCGCCCAGCACCTCCAACCAGGTTAACAATGCCAGTTTCACCTGTTCTTTTTCAATAAAACTAAGTGTCACAGAGCCAGTGGGACCATGGCCATGGTAGACATCAAGCTCAACTGGTTTAACATACTCCACCAAAATATTGCTCTACGTTCGACTTTGGTGAGTAACGACTGGGGTCTCAAAAGCTTGCAAACGGCCATCTAGGCCAACAATGGGTGTCTCCTCTCTCTCCCAAGCAAAGAATGAAGAAAACCAAAGACGCATGGAAACCATTCGTTAAAGGGATAGTGGACCATGCGAACCTCAGCCTACATGACCCTGAGACCAGAAGAACTAGATGGTGCCCAGCTGCCACTGTCAGCCACACAGAAAGGGGTCAGTGCAGGAGATCCTGGACAGAGAGGGAGAACAATGTGGGAAAAAAACTCAAAATCATAAAAAAGACCAGGTTTGCTAATCTGATAGAGTCTGTGAGACCCCCAAGACTATGGCCCTAGTCACCCTTCAGATCTGGAATTGAACTCACTCCCGTGGCTTCCAGCCAAACAACAGACCGGCATATGGGTGAACATTTATATCAGGTAGGTACACTTCTTGGAGCAACCAACCGTGGGGACCAGAAGGGCAGCATTTGTACAGGGAGACAGCTCAGGCAGCAGGAGTGCACAGGAAAGAGGGACACGGGGAAATGGTAAGCACAGGGAGGAAGGGGGAGAGCCGTGACATTGTGGGGCATTGCAATCAATGTCATGACACAAAATGTGTAGGAACAGTTGTATGGAAAATGAATTTGCTCTGTAAGCTTTCACTCAAATCACAGTTTAAACCAAATTAAAGAGAAAGAAAGCGGCAGATGCAGGAGCTCAGAGGCCGTCCCTCTGGCATCAGGACTGTCAGAGCCAAGGACAGCCAGGCTCAGCCCCACCTGCCCGGTGACACTGGCTGGGCACCCCCCCACCTGCCCGGTGACACTGGCTGGGCACACCCCCCCCCACCTGCCTCAGTGACCCTGGCTGGGCACCCCGCACACACACCCACCTGCCTGGTGACCCTGGCTGGGCACCCCCACACCTGCCCGGTGACACTGGCTGGGCACCCCCCACACACACCCACCTGCCTCAGTGACCCTGGCTGGGCACCCCCCCACCTGCCCGGTGACCCTGGCTGGGCACCCCCCACACACACCCACCTGCCTCAGTGACCCTGGCTGGGCTAATGTACACCCACCTGCCCTCGGTGATATTGGAACCCCTGGACCCACCTGGCTTCCGTGACGTTGGCTGGGCTCCCCCTGCACACCTTCTCCAGCTGCACGTAGACTGAGCAGTTGATGCGGCTCCAGTCAGGGTCACAGATGGCCAGGAAGCTGGGCCGCAGGCGCCCGATCATGTACTTGGCCAGGTCTGTCAGGGACTGGCTCACGGCGGCCCCGAACAGGAAGGTCCCCAGAACTTTGTACATGGCGGCCACGTAGTTGTTGAAGTCGGAGCGGGAGTACAGGCGGTTGGTGTACACCAGGTAGGCCTCCCCAGCTGAGACCTGGGGGCACAGCGGCAGGCCTGAGCTGCTGGGGCACGGCCCACCACTGAGGGGAGTTCGGGGCTCCCGACCACCCTGGGGCTGCCGGGGAGCAGAGGACTCCAGGTGGGTCCTATCCCACAAGCACCCCCCAGAGCCAGGCCATGCCTCCCCGCCTCAGACCCAGTGGAGGGTCAAGCCCCCACACCTGCCCCGCCTCCACCCGCCAGCCTTACAAGGACAACGGTGGCCGTGATGGTGACCCCAGCCATGAGTCTGTGGGTGATGGTGTCTGGACGGTAGGGGTACCGAATGGAGTCATCGCCACAGTAGAATCCTCGCTTGTACGGGGCGTTCACCAGAGTCAGGATGGCAAAGGGCAAGGAGGCTGCCGAGAAGGGCTCTGGGTAGGCCCCAGTTACCCCCAGCCGCCTGCCCACAGACCTGCCTGCGCCTCCCCCCTGGGCTGCCCCCCACTCCCCAGGACACCAGGTGGCCTGGCAGATGGGAGGCCGCATCCCCTCAGGGCTCCCAGAGAAACACCACCTCCCCCCAGGCCTGCTGTCCAGCCCTCCCCCTACTCCCTGCCTGCCTCCACTGGGCTCCTTAGACAAACAAGCTCACCCAGGGCCAAACCTGTGACTGATCTGCCCTCCCCCAGGGCCTCAGGACCAGGTTGCTACACACCTCCTCCTTCACAGCTCGCCCCCTGTACCCGCCCCGTGCGCCATCCCAGTCACTGTGGAACTCCAACTGATGGCACCGTGGTTAAGCGCTTGGACGCTAAGGTAAGGTAAGGGGTTAGCACCCACCAGCCACTCCACAGGAAAAGGACGAGGTGGTTTGCCTCTGAAGGCTGACAGCCTCCGAAGCCCTAGGAGGCAGCTCTGCCCTGTCCTACGGGGCCGCTATGAGTTGGAATCCACGCCACTGGTGATGGGGTTTCTGGGCCCTTCACCAACCCCACATCAAGCAGCTTTCACTAAGTTGGCTCGTTGGTCTAGGGGTATGATTCTCACTTTGGGTGCAAGAGGTCCCGGGTTCAAATCCCAGACAAGCAGCACCTTAGTGCCTAAGGCATTTGACTGCTAACCAGAAGGCTGGGAGTTCAAACCCACCAGCCACTCCTCTGAAGAAAGATTGGGCAATCTACTTCCATAGAGGTATCGCCCAGGACACCCAAGGAGGGGTCGCTATGAGTCAAATCCGCTGGATAGCAGTGAGCTTGATTTTTTTTGGCCACCAACCCCAGCCCCACCCTCTCCCAGGTCTCCTCTCCGTCACAGAACCAGCCCGTGGAGAACAGCGCGGCAGCCGCGCTACCCTTCACTGAACACCAACGGCCCCAACACCTTTCTGGCCGCCTCTCTCAGCCAGGGGGCTATTAGCCGGCCCTCCCTCACTGGCAGTTTGAGGAACTGGTTTAATTATTTCCCTGGTGCCCAGCATAAATGTTCAAATAAACAACCCTGGTGCCCAGGGCTGTCAGGTGGTCTCCGGCGACGCTTCTTTCCTGTCACCAGACCCCCCCACAAGGGGTCCCCTCTGGGACCTGGGAGGATGAAGCCATCAGATGGGCTGCCCCTCCCTCTCCTTCCCGCCGATCCTCGTGGGGGGAGGAGGGCGAACTGGGCCGAGCCCCCCTCCCGCGGCTAGAATTCCGGGCCATTGTCCACGCCGCCCCAGGGCAAACACTCGGCCTTTGTTCCCCGTCCAGGAGGAGGGCGGCGGGGGGCCTCGGGCCGCCCCCTCCCCCAGGCTGGCCCGCAAACCAGCCCGACAGGTTTGGGCAGAGGTTCCGCGAGGTCCCCCGTTCGCCCGCTGTCCGGGGCCTTGCTCCCCCAGCCCTTCAAGCCCCCCGGCCCGAGTGCAGGCGCAGGTGGGTCCTGCACCCGCGGGGAGCGAATCCCACCGGCCGGCTGTGCGTCCCGGGCCAGGAGTTCCCCTCCGAGCTCATCAGGCATGCCTCCTGCGGGGATGGCGGCTCCTCGCGGTGGTGACGCCGCCGCGCCCCCCTCCAGCCCGTCCCGGCTCCGCCGAGCGCAGCGGCCGCCGCCCGCGTGAATCACCCCGGGCGCCGCGGGAGGGGAGGCGCGAGCCGTCCTCGGCGGCGACTTCCTGCAGTTTCGGCCGCGGGGTGCTGGCCTGACGCTCCCGGCCCTTTAGAGCCGCTCGGATACGTGGGCAGGGGCCGGCGCCAGCAAGCGGGGCCGCAGTGGCGGCCCTGCCCGCGCTCCCACCCGGCGGCGCCGCGCCTCCCGCGCCCGCTTCACACACCTTCGCGCGCGGGGCGGGGCCGACCCGGGAGCGAGTCCGCCCACCTGGGTCCCGCGAGTCTTACCGACCAGGAGGCAGAGCAAGTCCAGCAGCACGAAGACCCACCTCCGCTGCATACCGCTCTCCCGGGCCGCGCCCGCGCCCCCCGACCCGCGCCCCGTGACGTCCCGTCGCGTCCCGGCTCGCCGCGGGTCACATGGCCGCCGCGCCCGGCCCAGTGGCCCAGGGAAGGGGACGGGAGGGCAGACGCGGCGGGGCGGGGCGACCCGAGGCCAGGGAGGGGCGGACTCTGCCCCCGCCCCGCGGGCAGCGCGCGGGAAGGCGCGGGGTGGGGAGGGCGTGAGCGGGTGGCACGGGGACCCTGGGTCTCCTCCGAGTTCCTGACCCAGGGTGTGGGGAGGGGAGCTGTCTCTGGGCTGAGAGGGGTCGTCCGTGACCCCTACCCTGGCAAGACCAGGAAACCGGGACTCCGGGACCGCAGTTCCAAGTCCAGAAGGCGTCCGGGTCCAGCTGCGCGCCCAGGTTCGGGCGGGCTGAGCGCCCCGCAGGCGGTGGCCGTGAATGAATGTAGGACGAAAGGAGTGAGTGAGCGTGAGCCGGCTGACCCGCGTGTGTGGGGGCGTGGAACCCCGGCTCCCGCTGCACCTGCCCCGGGTTTCTCGGAACCTCTCGGTCCTCCTTGGGAACTGGGGAGCGTGCTTAAAGCTTAAGACCTGAAATCCGGAAATGCCTAAAGCTGTCGCACCGTCGTAGTTCATTCATCTGCCAGAGATTTCACTTTCCCAAGAATCTAAAGTCCTCGCGCATCTCGGACCCAGGCCTTGCAGGGCCGTCAGAGGGCCGCTCGTGTGGACCGCTGTCGGGCTCGCCGTCCCTACCATACAGGAGCGAACTAAGGCGCCGGGGACAGGCACTCGTTCGCGCAGGCGCGACTGGAAAGGGGCAACAACAGACTCTTGGCACCAAACACGCCCTTTCCCCACCGGGCGGGAGCTGGCTGGGAGGCAGCCGGGCCTGGAGCGCTGAGGCTGGGAGCAGGGCGGGAGGAGCCGCCTGCAGTGTCCTGACACCGGGATCTCTGCCCCGCCCTCTCGCCAGTCCTGAGAGGCCACCGTCCCAAGGTCACACACAGGAAGGGGCGGTGCTGGGATTAGAACCTAGGGTTCACCCCCTAGCCTCTCAACCGCACTGAACACTCTCCCCAGTAATCCTTCTTAGTGATGCAGGGCACAGAGGTCCAGAGAGGGACTGCCCCGGCTCAAGGTCAAGGCCCTTGACTTAGAGCTCCCGCTTGACCTTGCTTCCTGGGGGAAGAGGTTAAACAGACGGCTGTGCGGGGGCTCACCGGGAGTTCTGAGGGCGAGGGGTGGGAGGGTCCCGTCCTGCTGGCGCTGGGGTGGGGGCGGTAGACGCTGACCCGTAGCTCTGGCATCAGCCAAAGGGCAGGGCTGAGGGGAGTCTCTGGGCCAAGGCTCGTGCCCCCCACCTTCCCTCGCTCAGGCTGGTGGAGACAGCGCCCGCGCCTTGCACTGCATGCACGGTATGACAAGGCCCTGGATGGAAGCTTCCGGTACTGAATGTTCCAAAGTCGCTGGTCACAGAGAGACAGGGGCGAGCACCCCAAAGCCGCTCTTTCCCACACACCCCCAGAAGCTGGGGGTGCGCGCCCCAGACTTTCTCAGACCCTTTCCAGCGGTTTTCTGGGCCAGTGCTGCTGTGTCCTAACAGGCAGAACTCAGGGCAATGGGCTCGTTCGTTTAATGCGGGTGAAAAGCCAAAACCAGACCTCCTGCCGTCCCTTCTGCCGCCAATGAACGGCTTTCCAAGGCGGTCGGCCCTTCCGAAGCCTCATCTTGAGCGGCTGCTGGGTTCCACTCACTCTTCGGTTGGCAGGCCAACGCTTTAACCACAGCGCCACCAGAGCGCCTCCGTTGCGTGTGAGGGCTCCCTGAACGTCAGTGCCACCCTCACGTTCTCACCCGCACCTCTGCAACCAGGCGTCCACGGCCCTGCGGCCGGCGCCACACCCTCAGCCGAGAAAGCGCAGCGTTGCTGGCGTCGGCGAGCTGGACGAGGTCGTGGCGGCGCGCCTGTCGGCCGGAGCTGCAGCAAGCGGGGAAGACCCGGGGAGGCCCAGGGCGGAGACCGGCGCGGGCGCGACCCGGCGGAAGGGCCTCCCCGCCCGCCCTCCCCTCAGGTCAGTCTGTGAAGCCGCGGGCAGCAGGGTCAAACACCCGCGGGGCAGCGAGGACTACAGCCGGGTCTGGGATCCGAACACCCCGCCTCACAGATTCTCCCACGGAACCTAGTCAGGCCCCGCGCCGTCTGTGGCGGGTGGGGGACGGGGTCCGGAGGCCCGCGAGGCCGAGCCCGGACTACCGGGACCGAGGGACGACAGAGCTGGGAGCGGCAGAGGAAGTCTGTCCCCCCAGAGGGCCCCAGCACGGCCGGCCGCAGGGTGGGCTCCGAGCTGCCAGCCTGCCCTCGCTTCCATAGGCGGGGGACGCCGGTGGGCGCACGCTCCCCCCCCACCTGCGCCCCGTGCTGCCTGCTGGGCCTCCCAGGGAGCGGGCAGGGCGCCCTCTTTTGGAAAACGTGGGCAAGAGCGGCAACTCTGGCTCCTCTGTGCCGACACGGAGCGCCCTGTCCCCATCTCAGAACGAAGCAAAGCACCCACCGGGCAACCCCGCGTCCACCTCACGACAGCACGAGGGCAGGGTGTCGGTCCCACGAACCCCCGCGTCCACCTCACGACAGCACGAGGGCAGGGTGTCGGTCC